CTAAAAAAGAACAAAAAAACTAGAGTCAATTGGCATAACTCGTGATCCAGATCATAATCTTATGATAACTACACAAAAATAAAATAAAAAATAAATATAAATCTCAATGTCCAATCAACCTAATTTTAAAAAATTAAATTAAATAAAAAATAAAAAAATAACTCGAGTCAACTTACTAAACTTGAGTTAAGAGTCTAGAATAACTTTATAAAAAATAAATTTAAATTTTATAATTTTATAATTAATAAAATTAATATTAAATAATAAAATTAAAAAAAAAAATTTTGATTCGAGAACTTAGTTTCCCTTTAATTAACTAACAACTTTTTTGAATGAATCCTCGGTCCTGTGCCAGATGCACATGATTATTAATTTCTTTTGTCTGCAAATTATGGACGCATAAGCATTCCAAGCTAGGTAGTCTCTAGATCATAGCTTAAAAATGTCATTGACAGCATCACATGGAAACAACCTGCCCTATGCACCCTGCTGATTTCATAAATATATATTGAAACAGAGTTAGTTGCCACCACAGATAATGTAGTTGATTTTATTTTTTAAATTATTATTTATTTAAAAATATATAAAAATAATATTTTATTATTTTTAAAAAAATTTATTTTTATCATCAACATATCAAAACTATTTACAAATATTAAAAAATTAATTTAAATCTATATATGTATTGAACTAGAGTTAGTTGCCACCAACAAAGAATATAGTTGATTTTACTTTTTAAATTATTATTTATTTAAAAATATATAAAAATAATATTTTATTATTTTTAAAGAAATTAATTTTAACATGAATATATTAAAATAATTTAAAAACATTAAAAAATTAATCTAAAGTAAAAAATTAAATTTTAACAAAAACATATTCCACCTGATACTTAAATTATTATAAGCTGCAATCCCAATTTTACTGCTCAGCAAGATCCGTGAATCTCTTTTTTTAAAAAAAAAAAACATGTGCTCTGAAAACTATGGACTTACTCCAAAGGAAAAAAAATGCACATGGATCTCAACAATAATAGTTTGTTTGTAAATTCATGAGGAGTTTGAATGGTAAGTGAATTTACATTTTATCATAAAGCCCTAAATTTAAATTAAAAAAAGATGGATATAAAAAAAAAATTGCAAATAGACTCGTTTTAGTATAAGTATGTTAAGACTCAACAAGAAAAATAAAACATGGATTTCCTTAAAAAATAATATAAAATTATTAAAGAGGTTTCATATAATAATTTAAGTTTTTAATTAGTATCATTTTTAAAAATGATTTTAGAGTCTTCAAATCTCATCATCATTTCATTCATGTATATATATATAACTAGATTTAGTTGCCACTGGCAAAGAATGTAGTAGATTTTACCTTTTAAATTTTTATTTATTTATAAATATATAAAAATAATATATATATATATATATATTATTTTTAAAAATTCATCTTTGATGCAAATTAATACATCAAAAAAATTCAAAAAAATAATTTAAAATAAAAAATTTAAAATTAAACAAAAAAAAATATTCAACCTCAAAGCAAACCCGAATGATTATGAGTTGCAATCTCAATTTTGATGCTCAACAAGATCCGTAAATCTCTTTTTTTTTAAAAAAAAAAAAAACATTTACTCTAAATACATTACATGTGCTCTAAAAACTATGGACTTACTCCAAAGAAAAGAATGCACATGGATCTCAACTATAATAGTTTGGCTGTACATTTATTAGAGGTTTGAATGGTAAGTGAATTTAAATTTTATCATAAAGCCCTAAATTTAAATTCAAAGAAAGATGGATATAAATAAAATATTTTGCATACAGACTTATTTTAGTGTAAGTATGTTAAGACACCAAGAAAAATAAAATATAGTTTTTCTTTAAAAAAATGACATAAATTTATTAAAAAGGTTTCATTTAATAATTTTAATTTTTTTTATTAATATAATTCTTTGAAATGATATCTCACCATATCTCTCTCACACGCATATTTTTTTTTAAAAAAAAAAAGAAAAACATGTGCTCTCCATAGAGTAGACGTGCTCTAAAAACTAACAATGGACTGACTGCAAAGAAATATATATTTTTTTATCTGTGAATTATATTAATCACTATAAAGTTAAAAAAGAAATTATCATGTGAAACTGTTATGATGTTTTTTTCTCACCCAATATTTTTTATTCTCGTAGCCGTAGTTTTTAGACCTAGTTCTATAACTGGTCAACTTCAAAGTCCAGGTTTCAATTTTGGATTGGATTACCAATCAATTTAAAAGAAAATAAAAATAATATTATTTTAATAAAAATAAAAATTTATATATTACAATCAAGTTTTTAATAGGATTTTACCGAGTTAATTTACCAAATTATTCTGGTCATAACAGGTTTTTTTTCTCTAATTTTTTTCTTCAATCTAGTTTATTTTCAGATTGAATCCTGAACGCCGAGCTGTATTTTAAAACTATGCTCGTAACAATCATGACCAGAAGGGAGCGCTCATGGGAAATGGCAAAGGAGAATACAAAACAAGATGGTCCTAACTCCTAAAAAATAAAACGTTGGAATAATATCCGGACACAAGAGCCAACTGGTACAAGAGAACAGGAACCTGTGAACACCATTGACGAAACTCATCTTTCACTGCTCAGAAGTTTTTTTAATGTTGACTGTGACAGATCAAAGAATCGAGTACCGTTATCATGTGTACAATTAAATTACAAAAGTAACCCCCGGCGAGAGGGCTCTACAAGTATGCTATGCCCACTGTATACACCATGAAGAGTCCACAGGGCGTTGCCCTTTTTCTCATCTGTGTAACACTCACCACCCCTGCACATGGTCTCAGCTGGCACCATGAAGGTCATTTTTTCTCACAGTCGAAGAGGTCAACAGACCATTATTGAATCCGTCCGTCCCCGCCTGCAGTTACAATAACAAGACCCCACGTGTCAGAACTTAACATAATATGTCACCTAGTTCGACATATGTATGTTGTGTTCGGTCACGTGGGAGATCTAGAATGCTCTTATCAGAAATTTTAAAAGAGGCTAGATATGATTAGAAAAAATATTAATACTTTTTGCGTATTTTATTTAATATAAACTATATTGTTTAATCTAGGTATAAATTAAAGGTTTTAATGAATTTTTAATTAAAAACTAGAATAAAAATTTATTTTTATAAATAAATCTAACATTTTAAATTTATTATTAATTTATATATCCAAGTAAATTCTTAAAAAAAAAAGTCATATAAATATTTAACGGGATTTATTTATTTTGAAAAACAAAAGAGTTCTCTACATTTTGTATATTACGATGAAAAATATTATTTATTAAAAATAATAAATATATAAAATAATCTTAAAATTTTTCTAGTCAACTCCTGATATTTAAATATCAATTTATTTATAGATCTTGAATGATTAATTTTTATAAATTAAAATTTTTAAGTTATTAAAATAATGATCAAATCCTTAAAAGATTTTATAAAACTTGTGTAAATTCTAAAAGATACAAAGAAAATTCAACATAGATATTTTTGAAAAACCATGCTAGAAAGAATTTTTTTTTCTTTTTTATAAAAATAAATACAATTTTTATAAGAATTGTACTGTATACAATGAGAAAAAATTATTATTCTTTTTTTCAGTAATTTTTTTATTTATCATTCTGATTCTTTACCATCAACTTAATAATTTTTTAGACTCTTTTCATATATATCTTTTGTATTTTGTATTTATTTTTATTAATTTTTTTATATGTTAAAAAGCTGATAACAATAATGCATAACAACTATTGGTAGAGGTAAGCGACCGACATTTGTACCATTCCTCCAAAAGCTCGTCAGCTTCTTAAAACTTGTTCGAATCAAATTTCATCTTTTAACGTCTAAACGAATGTATTTGATTCATTATTAATTCTCATCCTTTTTTTTATTATTTAATCCTAGTAGATATGGAGGTTAGTGGGCTTAAAGAATCCAAGTCTTACAAAAGAGGTTAGTCTTGGTTAACGTTAAGGATAATCGAAGAATACCCCACTGAAAATAAAACATTTTTTACTTTATTTTGAAAACTCCCAAACTATCGAATTACTCCAAAGAAAAAACGCTTTACGTATCTCAACTATAATAGTTTGGTTATAAATTTATTAGAGGTTTGAATGGCAAGTGAATTTACATTTTATCATAAAAGCCCTAAATTTAAATTCAAAGAAAGATTGTTACAAATAAAATATTTTGCATATAGACTCCTTTTAGTATAAGTATGTTAAGACTCAACAAGAAAAATAAAACATGGTTTCCCTTAAAAAATGTATAAAATTATTAAGGAGGTTTCATTTAATAATTTAAGTTTCTAATTAATATAATGTTTTGAAATTACATTAAAAATTTAATTTCTATATAATTAAATCATTAATGGGGGTTGTGTTGAGTTAGTATAAAATTATTAATGAGGTTTTACCAAATAATTTAAGTTTTTAAGTTAATATAGATTTTTTAATAATTTAGATACATTAATTGTTCGAGGAAAAATTAACTATAAATAACCCAATGCTTAATTTCATTGTGAAAAAAATAAATGTTTGGACTTATTTTTCTATAGGGTGCCTGAGGTGAATGGAATCCATTGTTTTGCTTTGTCATAATTTACATTTTAGGGATAGTCTCATATTTTAAAAAATGCATGAAATATTTCTTGTTTGTGAAATTATATTAACCATTGTAAAGTTACATAAGAACTTTTCATGTGAAATTGTTGATGGTTCGTTTTTTTCCTCACCCAATCTTCTTTTAGACCAATCATGACCAGAAAATAGCTCACATGGGAAATGGCTAAGGATAAGTCTAAAAATAAAACGTGGGAATAAGATCTAGGGACAAGAGCCACCCGAGCCTGGACCACGAACAGGAACCTTGGGACACCACAACCTTGTTTCCCATTGATACGCAGCTTTCACGATCGCTCACTGCCCAGATTTTTTTTACATCAATCAAATAGACAAAACGGGCCAGTTGGCCCATGAGCTTCTATTTCAATTTTGACTGTAACAAATCAAAGAATCGTGTATATCTTGCATGTATACAACTACAAAAGCCAGCCCGGGCAATTTGTTGCCAAGAGGGCTACACAAGTATGGAATGGCCATCGTGAATGACCTAATTAATTAAACTATATACAGTATGAAGAGTCTAAAAGGCGTTGCCCTTTTTCTCATCTGTGGTATATTCATCACCCCTGCACCATGAAGATAACCCTGCTTGTATCCTACAAGTAAGAAAATTAAGCCCCATGGTTAATTTTTCTCACAGTCGAAGAGGTAAACCATAATTGAGGTACGTTCTAATCCGTCCGTCCCAGCCTGCAGTTACAATAACAAGACCCCACATGTGAGAACTCAACATATTCTGACAAGCACTCTTCAAATACTTGAACTCGGGTCTAGATTTTGAAGGTGAGGCTGCCTTCGGACTTGAGTTGGGAAGTTTCTCCTCAGGCCAAGTCGCAGATCCCCTTGTCAAAGACTCCAACAGAAATCCACGGGCAAGAGAGAAACAGACTGATGGAGAAGAGGAAAGCCTTTTCTGCTCTCTCTCCACACAAAATTTCGGACAACTATGATCACTTTGGAAACTATTAACATCCCCGCTAGTTTCAGGTGATGAAAGCGTTTCAGGAACAGTTTCAATACCACGCCAAGGTATAGCAACAGATGCATTTTGAGACATGAAGCTCTCACAAGACTGAATGTTCTTTGTTCGAGAAGTCCTTTCCTGGCTGGTATAGTTCCAGATGTAGACGTTAGAATCTTCACTTGTTGAGATAATATGTTTTCCATCTGAGGTAAAAGACGCAGAAATTTGGTTTGCTGCAAACCGAAGGCTCGAAGCTGAAAGAGAAAACAAGTTAACTGTCAAACTAATGAAAAATCCAACGCTAGAACATATGCTATTCCATCAGCTATGATATTGAAAGGTTGGACACAAAATATTGACGATCTCAATTGCAAGATCATCCAAACTGGCAGCGTTTAAAGCACCATAGAAGACCATATAAAGAGGATAGAAGGATTAATATAGAGGAAACTTGCAAGATCATCCAAACTGGCAGCGTTTAAAGCACCATAGAGGACCATATAAAGATGATAGAAGGATTAATATAGAGGAAACTTGCAAGATCATCCAAACTGGCAGCGTTTAAAGCACCATAGAGGACCATATAAAGAGAAAGAGAAGGATTAATATAGAGGAAATGAAACCAACCCCTAAATTTGCAAATGACATCCAGGCCGCATATCACTCGGACTAGTGAATCAGCAGAAGTGACAAGAAGTTTGCTCGAGTCGCTTGGAGAGAACTGGAGAGTAAAATTATAGATAAATGAGTCTCTGTCCAGCAGAATATCAAGAATCAAGCAAGTTGTCAACAAAAAAAGAGGGCAAAAGTAAACCACCTCGAAGCCAGTTATCCTCCTGCCAGGTAGCTTCTTTTTGCCCTGTAAGCATGTTTGAGCATCCAGTTGCAGTCGATTATCTGCATCATAAAACCAAGATCATTTGGTGGTCAGCCTGGCAGCTCTTTTCAGAAGACAACATGAACTACTGTATAAAAATGGGAGTTGTTTTTTTTTATAACCGTAAGTGTCATGTGATGGCTGTCTCTTGGTGTAAATATTAATATGGTTCGGGTACTGTAGCTATAAATTTGAAAAGAAAAGAGAGGAGAAGAAAATCAAGAGAGAAGAAGAGAAGAAGAGGCAGCAGAGCAGCCTGCATTCTTTCTTCGATTTCCAGCTCGTTCACTATTGGATCGGGCTGAGATTTTGACAGTAGCTTCTAGACACGTTGATCTTCATTCTGGACGGTTGGATCGAAGATTGGTGGTGTGGAAGCTGGCCGTTTTGACAGAAAACGGGGCTGTCAGTTTTGTGAGTTTTTCTCAAATAATTCTCCTTTAATCTTGTTGTAATCCGAGAATGAGTTGTTCTTGATGATATATATGTTGTATCCCTTAGTTGAATCTGAGGAAGAATGATTGTGAACCCATTATTTGTTGATAGTGGAAGTTTTTAGGTGGACTACGGTCCCGTGGTTTTTCCCGCATCGGGTTTTCCACGTTAAAAATCTTGGTGTTGATTTTGTGATTATTTGCATTATTTTTCATCATTGTTTGATTCTGTTTTACTGCACAAAGAGGGAAAGAATTGGGACTTGTGAATTGTAATTGTATTCCGCTGAATTGATCCGGGTAAATTGGTATCCGGTTGTTCCGAGTTTTCCCAACAAACTATTGTAAAACAATTTCTCTTCTAATGGATGTGGGCATGGACGAACCATGTAAAATCACTATATCATGTAATTGTTTCTTTTTTTGTTTGTTGTGATTCTTTATATCTATGCGTACGATCCTTAACAATCTGATTATAGAGCTTTGGGTTTGTTGTTTGAGGTTGATATGCATCAATCACCATGTCTTTAGGATGCTATAAGGTTTATTTATTTATTTCAGGATGCTATAATGACTGGATTTGTTGTACTTTCATTATCTTCCATGCCAGTTTGAACACATCCAAGTTATGATATATGGGTTCAGGTCATATGAGTGAAAGAGTGATGAGTATCTTAAGCAGAACAAATCTCTTATATGATTAGAGTGCAAGTTCATTAGATTTTTATGAACATTGGTTGGTGGATAAATAAAAAACGACTTGGCTTTGATGGTATGGTTCGCAAGACCAAATATATTTCGACCTTGAGAGGTCGTGATAATGCCTTGTATATTCTAACTTTTATTGATAATTATTCCAAGAAAATCAAAGGTTTTTTTAAGCCCTAGCATTAAATGTTTAATAACTTTAAGCAATAAAAGATTATAATCAACAAGTAAATAGAAAAGATTAACCTCGATGCTATTGCTTTGCTGCAAGGTAAAATGAAGTTAACCTGAGATATCTCGTTGAACTTATAGTCTAGACTATATAATTGAAATGACTCGATAAAAAATAAAGAGACTTTTAAAGCTTTTTTTATATATTAAAAACTTGTGCTAACTTTTCAAACATGTAACCCGAGTCATTAGACCCAAAGCATCAAATCTAAAAAAATTATAAAATTCAATTCTCAATCAATCATTTATTGAAAGATAAAATTTTAAAAAAAATATTATACAAAAGGAATTAAATAAATAAAAATTAAAAGAATAAGGATCAAAGTTAAAATACAAAATAAATTTTATATTTAATTCAAGGATAAAATTGAAAAAAATCAATTTAGTAAAATAAAAATAAAGATGTAATTAAGGGGTGAAATTAAAAAGAATATAAAATTTTACAAAAAAAAAGCTTAGAAAAAAATATATTATACCATCAATTTGAATTGAATGGTAAAATTAAAAATCAATAAAACTTTTATAAAAGAAACAAGAAAAAAAATTAGAAATCAAAAGAATAAGGACCAAATTGAAGAATATAATATTTGGTAGATTGGATTTAAGGATAAAATTAAAAACAAATAAAATTTCTATGTAAAATTTAAGACTAGAAATAAAAAATCAAAAGGACAAGGCGTGAAACTAAAATGCTAATAATCAATAAGGTTAAGCTGTAATTTAAAAAAAAATAGAAAAGGAAAAAAAATAAAAATTTACTGATGACAAACGACCACTACCAAGCACGCGCATGATACTAATAAAAAAAAATAACAACAATGCTTTAAACCAACTCGGCAAAACAACATTCTTGAGCTTTTTTGTAAATAAAGAGTTCTAGGTTTTTTTAATGTGATATTCTTCTTTATGTATTTTACATTTTTTTGTGAATTCATATATGTAAAATTAAATTTTTAAAATCTTTTTTATAACCCACGTGATAATATATGCTAATTTATCGCATCATCTACCGATGAGAGTATAGTTTTGAAACCCGATCTAACTTAGCAGGATGACTCGGCTGACCTGGGGTTGGAACTGGGCCGAGTTGAATAAAAACAGGAAAAGAAAAAACCCAGTAGACCCGACGACCTGGTTAACCTGACAAGACTCGATCAAGACTCAGTTGCAAACCTGTTGATTTTTATTTTTAATTAAAAACAAAAAAACAAAAAAAAAATAGGTTAACTCGTTAAACTAGATTAATTCGTTAAACCCGGGATTCGTGCATTAAAAGGCTGGTAACTAAATAAAAAAATTTAACATTAACAAACTAAATTAAATAGAAAAAATTATTTAACATTAACAAACTAAATTAAATAAAAAAAATTAAAAAAAAATTAAAGGGTTAACCCATGAAATTAGTCTAACCCGTGAAACCTAGAATATGTGCCATAAAAGTTTGATAACTAAATAGAAAAAAATTTAATATTAATAAACTAAACTAAATGAAAAAAATTAATAAAAAGGAAAAAAACATTAAAAAAATTCGGGTTAACTCGTCATATCAGGTTAATTTGTTAAACTCGAGATCTGTATGATGAAAGTCTGATAATTAAATAAAAAAAATTAACATTAACAAATTAAATTAAATAAAAAATTATTAAAACAAAAAACACAAAAAAAAAAGTAAGAAAAAACCCGAAAGAATTAAAAAAACACCTTAAAAAAACAGCTAAAAAAATGAAATAAGAAGGTAGCTTAAAAAAAATAAAGCATTCGTGTTTTATTGTAGATTATATTATACAATGCACATTAAAATACTGATATCTTTTAATATATGTTATAATTTGCGAGAATTATTGAATTTTGTTAAATTATATTTTTTTTAATTGAAGAAAAAATTATAGATTGGTATATATTTTTCTTGTGTATTCGGTAATGGTTTTTTATGTAGTAGAGTCAGAGAGTCCCTACCACAGTTCGTGATGTGACCAATAATGTTGAACGCGCCATTACCACCAATTAGTTCACATCTAGCTCCGGACTTGATTCAGAGACCGTTTGTTTACGCATTAAAAGTTGCGTTTAAAATAAAACGCAGGAGGCAAGTGTTTGGTAAAGGAAATACCACTAATTACTGTTCATGGGTCCCATTAATTTCTGTGTTTGGAACGCAGGATTGAAAGAAGCAGCTAAAGGCTGCTTTTCTTGCCCTGTTCATCTAATTGCACTGTTCAGTGAACAGTGCAATTAATATTAACAGCGTTCATGAGTACACTGTTCATGTGAACGTGCATAAAAATTGCACTGTTTACGTGCATTGCGTTTTTTTTTTAAGGTAAGTTTTTTAATATTTTTTTTTTTAAAAAATAAAAACCACAACAACTACCACAATACCAAACACGCTCTCAGTCAGGAAATTTTCTGCCTACGCAGCGCAATAACTCAGAACCACAACAGCTACCACAATACCAAACACGTTCTCAGTCAGGAGATTTTCTGCCTACGCAACGCAATAACTCAAGATGGGGCAGCTTTACGCGGACGAGAACATGCATGAGTCCTAGGACATGGTGCTGATGATGCATGCCTTTTCTTAATTATGAGTTTGAATTTTATTTTACTTTTATATATATATATATATATATATATATAATTGATTTAGGTTTACACTTGCATTGAATGATTGTTAACAGTTATACTTGAAATAATTATCGAAAATGCCTGTATTAAACTAGATATTTACATGTGTTTAGAGCAGGTTATTTGTAGATAAGAGTATAAGACGGGAGAAGACACGCAATCAATTGATTTCCAAGAGGAGCTCCTTTTATTTTGTTTTTTATTTTTTTAATGACATGCTACCTTGCAAAATACTTGTGCTGACTGTAATGTTAAAAAAACAAAACAAAACAAATGGGTCATTGTTAGAATTTATAAATTATGTTTAATAACGTGATAGTGATTATTTTTTATTTATAAATACATCAAATAATATTTTTTTATTTTTAAAAAATTATTTTTAATATTTACACATCAAAATAATTTAAAAAAATAAAAAAATATTAATTTAAAATAAAAATATTAAATTTTTAAAAAATACTTTTACAATAAAAAAAAACCCTGTTAAGTGGCAGCCGCCAAAGAATGAACTAGAGCTTCAAGAATTTTGGTACAATCATTACTTGCCAACCCTTTTTTTTTATTCCCCGATTATGCTATGACACTGTGTGATGTATTGACTTTATATTATATTTTTCAGCACATACGACAATTACTCTCCCTTGTCCTTGTCCACACAATAAAAATCTGAAAAAAACATCCTTTTTTATATATTTTTAATTAAAAAATATTTTTAACACAATTTTTTTATTTTATTTTATTTCTTAAATTAACCATCAAAATCATTTAAAAACACATTAATTTGCTGTTTTTGAGAGGAAAATCAATTTAAAAAATAAGTTGTAATGTAAAATAAAACACTTAAATAATCGAGAATAAAAAATCATGACTTTGTGATTTTATACATATATGTTACAATTGAAAGTTATTAGATTCTAATAAAATGATGGTTCTTAAAGGAGAATAGTTAGGATTGGCGCTAGCCGCTAGGTTATGTATCTTGAGAGGGCCGTGACCCCACCCCCCTAAATATTTTTGAAAAGTAAAATCCCACCCTT